ATTGGGACCTGGTAACGTTCAACCACTCTGCCTGCAGTGCTTGTGCCGCTTGGTTCTGTGGTTGATGCTGACGTTATCCAGGAGATTGAGGTGAACCTGACAACCTGATATCTTTTGCTAGTCTCGTTGCCACCGTCTTCCTTTGTTTTTTGTTATCAGTTTTCCACTAACACTGGATAGGTTGGTAGCCTTGTATATATCCGCATACCACCAAAAACAACGAAGTACAGAGAGTCATACTATCCAGTAACATACCACAATGTGATTGTTCGATGTGTCATACGAGTTCAGTATCCCATCATAATTGTGGTATACAACGAGTGCGCTCTGTGTTCCAAAAGTCAATGAAGCACCTCAAAAATGAACCCAGAAGACACGCCAGATATTAATAATGCACCAAACAATGAGTACACAGTGTTTCGTATAAGGTGAGGTGAAATGGGGTTTAACGTCGCGTCCAAGACTATTGCACTTATATAGCGACGTGCATGTACGTGTGTGTGTTTGTGTGGCTGCTTGTACTAGTCCGGACTGATGCCGATTTATAGTGCTAGCTCACTGAGATACCATGCCGCAGTTTAACATGAATACCCCACGCAGACACAGTATACTGACTCCGAGCCGACCAGTCCTTGTTTTAGCCCCTTAATGCCGAGCGCCAGACAGGGTAACAACAAGTACCATCTTTTAACGTCTTTTGGTATGACGCGGCCGGGGATTGAACCCCGGACCTTCCGCTCTCCCGGCGGACGCTCTACCACTAGACCACGGAGGCGGTCTTGCAGGCAATGGATCCACGAGTACAGAAAGTGGCAGCTTTGGAGGCTGCATTGCATCGGGAGTGGCAGAAGTTAACCCTTTTTCGTACCAGAAGACTCACTGCAGGAATGAGGAGAAGGGATGATTTTCTTTCTACTGATTTTCAGGATAAATATGATCTTTGTAAGATAACAATGAACGTTTTGGGACAGTAATGGTCGTTCATACGTCATCATGGACCTTCCCAGATCCATAGATTTTAGATCTCAATTACAGTACTATCGCAACTGTGTCATAACTGAAATTATAATATTGAACATTTGCATTATTCCCTGTGTTTTCATTAGTCAAGAGTCTCATCTCTACACAGGACATTTAATTCTCCAATATAGCTCAGAATCGAAGCGATTGATACTTTGTTGTTAGACGATATGGTCGCAAAACCAGAAGATGCTTAATATATTTCTAGGTGTATATTTTCGGTTTTCCCTGAACAAGGATGTGACTTTTTTGTAGTGTTAAAATAACACGTAGCTCATTCACTGTTTATGTCTGAAAAACATGATACAGTTTTAATGTCCTAAGCTTGCTGTGTGTTTGCTGTTTAACACCGCACTCAGGATTTTTCCAGCAATAATAAACCTTTCTTGTTATCAGTACATAATAAACCTTGGTTGTTATCAGTGCATACTAGTAAACCTTGGTTGTTATCAGTGCATAGTAAATCTTTTTTGTTATCAGTACATAATAAACCTTGGTTGTTACCAGTGCATACTAGTAAACCTTTCTTGTTATCAGTACATAGTAAATCTTGGTTGTTATCAGTGCATACTAGTAAACGTTGGTTGTTATCAGTACAAAACAAACCTTTCTTGTTATCAGTGCATACTAGTAAACCTTGGTTGTTATTAGTACATAGTAAATCTTGGTTGTTATCAGTGCATAGTAAACCTTGGTTGCTATCAGTGCATAGTAAATCTTGGTTGTTATTAGTGCATAGTAAATCGTGGTTGTTATCAGTGCATAGTGAACCTTGGTTGTTATCAGTGAATAGTAAACCTTGGTTGTTATCAGTGCATAGTAAACCTTTGTTATGAGATATACATTGCACTTTCACGAGAATCTCACACGTTAGAACCATAAATGTCAAGATTATTTTTATATATAATCACATCATGTTACCACCACAGATGTTTTGGTGAAAGATATCCAGATATATACAAATACGGTTGTAGCCACTATTCCTTAGGAAGTCTCTATAGTGTCCGTAAATATTAATGTTCTTGCAGTTAGGTAAAAATCTCTCTCTCTCTCTCTCTCTCTCTCTCTTTCTCTCTCTCTCTCTCTCTCTCTCTCTCTCTCTCTCTCTCTCTCTCTCTCTCTCTCTCTCTCTCCATAAACCAACCAACCAGTCCGTCTCTGTTTAGCTGTAAATGCTTAGGCGCAATAACCTGACATACTCAGCTGCACAGAGTGTTAGCATGATCCGGCTGCAGGTATTGATTTACGATCACCTAGATCTTAATAAGCGCGACCAAACCTGTACCATGTGCTTTAAGACGACAGCGCTCAGAGGGAGAAGATTACCATATCGGAGTTCAAGATGTAAGTATACGTTTATTGGGTTTATATAATTTTGATTATCTGCATTGTAAACGTACTCCTCTACAAGCCTGGAAAATGTTATGTGCAAGTCGCACACTATTCCTTATCCTTATAACCAACTTTTATGAAACATTCGTTTCTATTGACAGATATTTTCGACGTTGTAATTAATATAGTTCAATAATATTAAGTATAAGGTTCAGTTAGAATGTTTTTATTATTCATACTTTTATTATCTGTTGGCTGGCACACCCTCGGGATGTATTAAACATATTTCTGTATACGCTGACATTTACGCATATTTTGGTTTGTTGCAAGAAACCTATACTACATGCAAATCGTAGAGAGAATGAAATCCTGGTATATCGCTACCAATCATGTTTACACACAATGCCCATGTGTATATGTATATGATATCAATAACGTATCTAATGCAAAGATTGAGATCATTGTTGTCACCTACACATTACGTTCACAAGTACTGTCTACTTATCCCAAACAATTGTATATAATATTTATTTATAATGAATGATATATGCCAATTACAATCACAAACTTATAGTGGCATATATGAAATCAACGCAAAGAAATGATTACTGTTCTTGAAAAAATATGAAGGCACACATTCTCGTTCACAGGATGTACATTTCACAAAAAACACAAAGAACAATAGATTAGGGAAGAAGGGGGAAATTAGCAATTATTGTTTTTCAGATAATTCAAAAGTAATTTGACTTTGACTTCAAGTGTGAAAAAGTACAATGTGATCAAAACGGTAATATGCTTATAATAGAACTAGTGATTAAAGACTATAAACTAGGCATTATTACCATATGTGGACCTAAAATGGTGATCCTGATTTCTACGATGACATTGACAACACTAAAGGATCTTTGACAAGTGGTCACATTATCCTTTGTTGGGATTGGAATATAATTCAAAATTACTCGCTAAAAATGTTAATAATCCGAAAGCACGAGAAAAGGTTATTGAAACCTGTTTGCAAAGAGATATACATGGAGACAACCTACACAGTTAAAACAAGCTCGACTTGACTATGTCGTAGTATCTCACAATATAATCTCTGCTTTTGTGAAAACAGAAATAGAATCTAGTTTTAAGTCAGATCATTCGCCGATATCTTTAAAATTTCGACTATCCGAACTGCAGCGTGGAAAGGTGTTTGGAAATTTCATAATTCACTTCTTACAGACACAAATTACGTTGAGTTAGTAAAAGCTCTGCTAAAAGCAGAGTCGATCGTCCGATTCCGACTATATCATGAGCAAGTAGTGACGATATCAGGTGAGCGTGAAGATAACCGAGGTAATATTATAGACCAACATGAGTTTATTTTAAAGGAAGTAAGCAAGTTCTATGGTAAACTCTACTCTCAACATGACTTGCCAGGTATTCAATTGGAAACGCTACTTGGTAAATTTAAGGTACCAAAACTAAATGGTGACTTGTCTCAGAAAACTGAAGGCGAACTGAAGTATGATGAGGCCTTTGAAGCAGTCAAATGTCTGTCAAAGGGGAAAATGGTATTTTCTGTGGAATTCTTAAAATTCTTCTTAAATGATTTTGGTAAATACTTAGTAAGACCTTTCAATTTTGCAAACAGAACTTGTGAACCATCCATCTCACAAAAAACGAGGATTAATTACGTGTCTTCCTAGAGATAACAAGCGTATAGGCGACGAAGTCATCTATATCCCCCGCCATTTTAACACGTTATGGTCCCAAACCAGGTAACTGACCCAACATTTCTCTTAGCCCATGTCAAAATATCTGCAATGGGAATTCTAAAATAAACATTTCTAAAACTCCTTAATATCAGATGGCACCAGTCCAGTTTGTGCTTTATATATGTAACTGTTGCATCCAACTTGGGGTCTGACCGACACGGTTGATCCTGCTGAGCCCTTAGTACCCTGTGGGCGGTCAGGTAGCCCAGTGGTGAAAACGTTCGCTCATCACACCGAAGACCCGGAGTTGATTCCCCACATGGGTACAATGTGTGAAGCCCATTTCAGGTGTCCCTCGCCGTGATATTGTTGGAATATTGCTAAAAGAGCGTAAAACCATACCGCTGGATAATATTACAAAAATTACATCTATTTACATGATGTACTAATGTTTTGCTGATAAAAAGCTGTGCAATTCCTGCTGAGTACTCAATACAAATCTTCTGATATTGGTAGGGGATGCTTCCGGTAGTGCTGGGTATGCTTACTCTTTTCGCGAACACCTGGTGTCATCACTGATTTTCAGTGATCCATTGACATTATGATCATACTTAGGTATTTTGCCTTTTACGCCAAAAGGAACTGATTTCGGCGGATAATCGAGACTGGTATTTCTTTGGCTTTGACGTTTTACATTTACCTCCCATAACATCGACATCAAAGACTTTCACTGTGATTAAAAAGGAAGAAATGCACAACGATCCTGAATGTGTTTAAAGTGTGTATATTGACTATTCATGATAAATGCATCTCAGATGTTTTTGGGTAGATTGTTTTGCAACAATTAAACAATTACGACCATGCTACATCTTGTGTTTTCGAAGTGTTCTAGTGGTCGAATTACGATAATTGATTTTCAAATGTTTATCTTGTAGATTTCGTCGCAAGAAGTCAACAACACATTGGCGATGCGCCTGTGACTTCAAAACACAAGAACAGTTTGAGTCCACGGCATAAAAGATTCACATCGTTGTTTGCAAGCAGAATTTTTAAAAAACTTTTAAGTATGTTTTGTCTATCAATCTGTCTGTTTACTTCGTTCACCGCCCATGTTATAAGCACAACAACGTATTACCTTGAGGAAAAGGGAAAGATTGGTATCGATCACATTCTCTCCCGTGCGACGTTGAGTTGTACAGAAGACTGTATTATCTTTTGTAATGGGGAGAAAGCCCTTACTGCAAACTATGATGTGACGACGGGAACGTGTGTCTGTCACTCTGTTTTTCCGGAGATGCTCTCTCTGATGACACAGGCAAACAACTTCATGTACACCAATCAGGGTGAGTATATGCACTTTATCATATAATTGGTAGGTTTCTCGGCAAGATAAAGCCAACGGATAAAATGGATATCCGTTGGGGTCATATGCGGATAGAGATGCAAATATTAAAGGTCAAGTAGGGACTACTTTCACTGTTTATAAACAAACATGGCGTCGCCCTCGTCATTCGGCGATCGAGTCAGAATTAACCATCGGGAATCTGGATAAACTACAGTGATAATTGCTATCATTATCATTATGTCTGTAAATAATCGAGTCTGGACCAGACAATCCAGTGACTAATATCATGACCATCGATCCACGCAATTGGGATCGATGACATGCATCAACCAAGTCAGCGAGCCTGGCCACCCGATTCCGTTAGTCGCCTTTTACGACAAGCGTAGTCACCTTTTACGGCAAGCATGGGTTGCTGAAGACCTATTCTACCCCGGAATCTTCACGAGTCAATAAGCTAACGCTACATTACTGTAGTTGTTCAACATGTTAAATCCAGTTCCTCGTGGCGTTGCCTCTTTGGATTTGTGTTATCCCAACTAAAACATATGACAGGGGGCACGGGTGGCCCAGTCGTCTAAGGCGCCGCGATTCGCTGTGCAGAGTTGCGTCCCTTGGGCACGCCAGAAACCTATGATTATGGGTTCGAATCCCGGTTCGCAGCAATTATGTTTCTAGGTTTGTCAGCACCATACCCGTGCTCGTGGTTTTCACCGAAGTGGTAAACGTCTGAAACCTGCATCACTTCGGGCATTCCTCCCACATTAAGCTGACACGCCGCGATATAACTGGAATACTGTTAAAAGCAGCGTTAAACCCAGCTCACTCACTCACTATAACAATTGACCACTTTCTAAATAGCATCGTGTGTTCAAACTGATGGGTAGAACTCTTCAATGAAGGTTTCGTTTATTCTGATGGAATATGATTATTGTACAAAGGTTTCATGAAGTGGTTACATATGTCATTGTTTTGTAGCTTGTGCCGCGGCTGCCGGGTTTGGCTACGTGTACGACATCTCCTCGAACTTCTGCTACAAAGTACATACAAAAAAGACTATCTGGATGGAAGCCCGCGAGGAATGCAAAAAGGAGGGTGGCGACCTGGCCAAGCTGGACACTCCGGAGAAGCGACAGTTAGTGCGAGAGATTATTAAAGCAGGTAACGTTACTTCTGCTTTTCGTTTTGAAAAAAGACCGCCTCCGTGGTCTAGTGGTAGAGCGTCCGCCTCGAGAGCAGAAGGCCCAGGGTTCAATCCCCGACCGCGTCATACCAAAAGACGTTTAAAAATGGTACTTGTTGTTACCCTGTCTGTCAACATTAAGGGGCTAAAACAAGGACTGGTTTGCTCCGAGTCAGTAAACTGTGTCTGAGTGGGGTATTCATGTCAAACTGCGGCATGGTATCTCAGTGGGCTAGCACTATAAATCGGCATTAGTCCGGACAAGTACACACACACAAACACACACACACACACACACACACACACACACACACACACGTGCATGCACGTCGCTATATAAGTGCAATAATCTTGCAAGCGACGTTAAACCCCACTTCACCTCACCTCACCTTTTTAAAAAAAATAGAATATTAGCGGTAATGTGTCAAGAATACATTTCTTCCGAAATGAGCAATCAAAGAAGTTATTCCGCACAGCTTCGTGATTCATATTATTCAGATGGAGCCAATGAATACTTCCTTGGAGCAACAGACATGGCCGAGGATGGGGTATGGAGATGGGTGGTAGACGACACAGTCTTTCCAGAGTACACAAAGAAAGGATTGTCCGAATGTCTCGAAATGCAATCCGACTTAAGGCTTGATGATACGGGATGCACCCACCAAGATCAGAAATACATCTGTGACATTTCCCTTCTGTGAGGGTTTTGTCACCATATCGCAGTTGCAGTTAAAGCTAAACAAATGCTGATTGTAACCAGGACATAACGGCTGCAATAACAGGAGCTACATGTGGCATGGCGTTTTCCATGAGTTATTGACAATCAGCATTGGCTACAATGTGCTGATTGACACCAGGACACGACAGCTGCAATTATATGCAGCTAGAATGTTCAGTTGGTTGGTTGGTTTGTTGTTTTACGCCGCACTCAGCAATATTCCAGCTATATTACGGCGGTCTGTAAATAATCGAGTCAGGACCAGACAACCCAGTGATTGATATCATGAGCATCGATCCACGCAATTGGGATCGATGACATATTCTACCCCGGATCTTTCTGGGTCCGCTGTATATGTACATAATGAATATAGTCGGCAAGCCTGACCACCCGATCCCGTTAGTCGCCTTTTACGACAAGCATAGTCGCCTTTTACGGCAAGCATGGGTTGCTGAATATCTATTCTACCCCGGATCTTCACGGGTCGATTGTACATTGTGAAACATAGTCATGAGGTTATCTTCTGTGGTTTATGTTTAAATGTAATCTTAAATAAACATTAAATAAATTTTATCATCTCTTTCTCAGAGCACAACAACAACAATAGTGTAGTTATATATTGTTATAGTTATAGTGTCTAAAAAGTACATGATATATGCTGAGAGTTTGGTTTAAACATATTTTTATTTCAAAAGAAATCTGGATCGGAAAACAAGCAAAACTTGCTTATAAAAATACCTCTCCAGGTAATAACTTTACAACAGCTGGTTATATATCAGATTATATGTAAGATAGTGCTAATCATAAACATCCTAGATGCACAAATGAATGACATGAAGCCAATACAAGTGGTGTCTGTGAAATAAGATATAGCAGTTTTCCATTACTACATGCATAAAATTAAGCTACTCGAATCTTGAGAATGCTGAGAGTTGTGTTGAAGTCCTGCACCCGGCCTCACAGTGCCAATGAGAGACATGTACCTTGTACCTTCAAAATCACAGTAAAACAAAATATATATTTAAAAATTAAACAGGAAAAACAAAACATTTTTTTTTTTTGAATCTCTTCCGCAGAACACATCTTTGGTGTAATTACCTCGTTACGCTAACAGGCCATTAGTGAGATGAGCTCAGTGTCATTAGTGAGATGAGTTCAGTATCATCTCATTGTGGACTAGGGATTACCAGGGCAATCAGTGCAGACAATTGTCTGGCAACTTTTCATTCGAGTAGTCACTGCTTAGTCAATAATGCATTTGGAACCATACTTTCTTCTACTATACTTCTACTTCTACTACTCCAAATTGCTTGTATTGTGCGACATTCGTTGTCCAATTGTATTATACTTCGTAATGTATGTACTCTATACCACTATTGTGTGTTTTTCTAGAATAAACTCTGTTCTGTCCTTCTATTCTCCTTATTGAGTCAAATGTACTATTTAACATGTGTCTGGGGAGCAAGGAAATGTATCTAGGTAACAGCCTTTTCTCCTAAAAAGGGTTCTACTTATCAGATATAAAATAATAATAATTATATAGTGAGAAGGCCGGGACCAAAAAAGGTATTTGCATAAGAGATGCAACGAGATGTTTAACGCCGCACTCGGCAATATCCCAGCTATATGACGGCGGTCTGTAAATAATCGAGTCTGGACCAGACAGTCCAGGCGTTGACATCATGAGCATCGATGTAAGCTATTTGGATCGATGACATGCATCAACCAAGTCAGCGAGCCTGGTCACCCGATCCCGTTAGTAGCCTTTTACGACAAGCATAGTCGCCTTTTACGACAAGCACATTAAGGTCGTAATAAGTAGAATGTGCTCATGGTTAATGGTCACCTGGTCGCGAACACCTGGCATCATCAGTACAGTAAACTACGGTTATAACTCAGACACCACAACACTAAAGGATCTTTGACAAGTGGTCACATTATCTTTTGTTGGGATTGGAATAGAATTCAAAATTACTCGCTAAAAATGTTAATAATCCTAAAGCACGAGAAAAGGTTATTGAAACCCGTTTGCAAAGAGATATACATGGAGACAACCTACACAGTTAAAACAAGCTCGACTTGACTATGTCGTAGTATCTCACAATATAATCTCTGCTTTTGTGAAAACAGAAATAGAATCTAGTTTTAAGTCAGATCATTCGCCGATATCTTTAAAATTTCGACTATCCGAACTGCAGCGTGGAAAGGTGTTTGGAAATTTCATAATTCACTTCTTACAGACACAAATTACGTTTAGTTAGTAAAAGCTCTGCTAAAAGCAGAGTCGATCGTCCGATTCCGACTATATCATGAGCACGTAGTGACGATATCAGGTGAGCGTGAAGATAACCGAGGTAATATTATAGATCAACATGAGGTTATTTTAAAGGAAGTAAGCAAGTTCTATGGTAAACTCTACTCTCAACATGACTTGCCAGGTATTCAATTGGAAACCCTACTTGGTAAATTTAAGGTACCAAAACTAAATGGTGACTTGTCTCAGAAAACTGAAGGCGAACCGAAGTATGATGAGGCCTTTGAAGCAGTCAAATGTCTGTCAAATGGGAAAATGGTATTTTCTGTGGAATTCTTAAAACTCTTCTTAAATGATTTCGGTAAATACTTAGTAAGACCTTTCAATTTTGCAAACAGAACTTGTGAACCATCCATCTCACAAAAAACGAGGATTAATTACGTGTCTTCCTAGAGATAACAAGCGTATAGGCGACGAAGTCATCTATATCCCCCGCCATTTTAACACGTTATGGTCCCAAACCAGGTAACTGACCCAACATTTCTCTTAGCCCATGTCAAAATATCTGCAATGGAAATTCTAAAATAAACATTTCTAAAACTCCTTAATATCAAATGGCACCAGTTCAGTATGTGCTTTATATATGTTACTGTTACATCCAACTTACACTCACTTGCAAGTTTGTGGTCTGACCGACACGGTTGATCCTGCTGAGCCCTCAGTCCCGTGTGGGCGGTCAGGTAGCCTAGTGGTTAAAGCGTTCGCTCATTACGCCGAAGACCCGGAGTCGATTCCCGACATGGGTACAATGTTTGAAGCCCATTTCAGGAGTCCCCCGCCGTGATGTTGCTGGAATATTGCTAAAAGAGCGTAAAACCATACCGCTGGATAATATTACAAAAATTACATCTATTTACATGATGATGTACTAATGTTTGGCTGATAAAAAGCTGTGCAATTCCTGCTGAGTACTCAATACAAATCTTCTGATATTGGTAGGGGATGCTTCCGGTAGTGCTGGGTATGCTGACTCTTTTCGCGAACACCTGGTGTCATCACTGATTTTCAGTGATCCATTGATATTATGATCATACTTAGGTATTTTGCCTTTTACGCCAAAAGGAACTGATTTCGGCGGATAATCGAGACTGGTATTTCTTTGGCTTTGACGTTTTACATTTACCTCCCATAACATCGACATCAAAGACTTTCACTGTGATTAAAAAGGAAGAAATGCACAACGATCCTGAATGTGTTTAAAGTGTGTATATTGACTATTCATGATAAATGCATCTCAGATGTTTTTGGGTAGATTGTTTTGCAACAATTAAACAATTACGACCATGCTACATCTTGTGTTTTCGAAGTGTTCTAGTGGTCGAATTACGATAATTGATTTTCAAATGTTTATCTTGTAGATTTCGTCGCAAGAAGTCAACAACACACTGCCGATGCGCCTGTGACTTCAAAACACAAGAACAGTTTGAGTCCACGGCATAAAAGATTCACATCGTTGTTTGCAAGCAGAATTTAAAAAAACCTTTTAAGTATGTTTTCTCTATCAATCTATCTGTTCACTTCGTTCACCGCCCATGTTATAAGCACAACAACGTATTACCTTGAGGAAAAGGGAAAGATTGGTATCGATCACATTCTCTCCCGTGCGACTTTGAGTTGTACAGAAGACTGTATTATCTTTTGTAATGGGGAGAAAGCCCTTACTGCAAACTATGATGTGACGACGGGAACGTGTGTCTGTCACTCTGTTTTTCCGGAGATGCTCTCTCTGATGACACAGGCAAACACCTTCATGTACACCAATCAGGGTGAGTATATGCACTTATAATATAATTGGTAGGTTTCTCGGCAGGATAAAGCCAACGGATAAAATGGATATCCGTTGGGGTCATATGCGGATAGAGATGCAAATATTAAAGGTCAAGTAGGGACTACTTTCACTGTTTATAAACAAACATGGCGTCGCCCTCGTCATTCGGCGATCGAGTCAGAATTAACCATCGGGAATCTGGATAAACTACAGTGATAATTGCTATCATTGTCATTATGTCTGTAAATAATCGAGTCTGGACCAGACAATCCAGTGACTAATATCATGAGCATCGATCCACGCAATTGGGATCGATGACATGCATCAACCAAGTCAGCGAGCCTGGCCACCCGATTCCGTTAGTCGCCTTTTACGACAAGCGTAGTCACCTTTTACGGCAAGCATGGGTTGCTGAAGACCTATTCTACCCCGGAATCTTCACGAGTCAATAAGCTAACGCTACATTACTGTAGTTGTTCAACATGTTAAATCCAGTTCCTCGTGGCGTTGCCTCTTTGGATTTGTGTTATCCCAACTAAAACATATGACAGGGGGCACGGGTGGCCCAGTCGTCTAAGGCGCCGCGATTCGCTGTGCAGAGTTGCGTCCCTTGGGCACGCCAGAAACCTATGATTATGGGTTCGAATCCCGGTTCGCAGCAATTATGTTTCTAGGTTTGTCAGCACCATACCCGTGCTCGTGGTTTTCACCGAAGTGGTAAACGTCTGAAACCTGCATCACTTCGGGCATTCCTCCCACATTAAGCTGACACGCCGCGATATAACTGGAATACTGTTAAAAGCAGCGTTAAACCCAGCTCACTCACTCACTATAACAATTGACCACTTTCTAAATAGCATCGTGTGTTCAAACTGATGGGTAGAACTCTTCAATGAAGGTTTCGTTTATTCTGATGGAATATGATTATTGTACAAAGGTTTCATGAAGTGGTTACATATGTCATTGTTTTGTAGCTTGTGCCGCGGCTGCCGGGTTTGGCTACGTGTACGACATCTCCTCGAACTTCTGCTACAAAGTACATACAAAAAAGACTATCTGGATGGAAGCCCGCGAGGAATGCAAAAAGGAGGGTGGCGACCTGGCCAAGCTGGACACTCCGGAGAAGCGACAGTTAGTGCGAGAGATTATTAAAGCAGGTAACGTTACTTCTGCTTTTCTTTTTGAAAAAAGACCGCCTCCGTGGTCTAGTGGTAGAGCGTCCGCCTCGAGAGCAGAAGGCCCAGGGTTCAATCCCCGACCGCGTCATACCAAAAGACGTTTAAAAATGGTACTTGTTGTTACCCTGTCTGTCAACATTAAGGGGCTAAAACAAGGACTGGTTTGCTCCGAGTCAGTAAACTGTGTCTGAGTGGGGTATTCATGTCAAACTGCGGCATGGTATCTCAGTTGGCTAGCACTATAAATCGGCATCAGTCCGGACAAGTACACACACACAAACACACACACACACACACACACACACACACACACACACACACACACACACGTGCATGCACGTCGCTATATAAGTGCAATAATCTTGCAAGCGACGTTAAACCCCACTTCACCTCACCTCACCTTTTTAAAAAAAATAGAATATTAGCGGTAATGTGTCAAGAATACATTTCTTCCGAAATGAGCAATCAAAGAAGTTATTCCGCACAGCTTCGTGATTCATATTATTCAGATGGAGCCAATGAATACTTCCTTGGAGCAACAGACATGGCCGAGGATGGGGTATGGAGATGGGTGGTAGACGACACAGTCTTTCCAGAGTACACAAAGAAAGGATTGTCCGAATGTCTCGAAATGCAATCCGACTTAAGGCTTGATGATACGGGATGCACCCACCAAGATCAGAAATACATCTGTGACATTTCCCTTCTGTGAGGGTCTTGTCACCATATCGCAGTTGCAGTTAAAGCTAAACAAATGCTGATTGTAACCAGGACATAACGGCGGCAATAACAGGAGCTACATGTGGCATGGTGTTTTCCATGAGTTATTGACAATCAGCATTGGCTACAATGTGCTGATTGACACCAGGACACGACAGCTGCAATTATATGCAGCTAGAATGTTCAGTTGGTTGGTTGGTTTGTTGTTTTACGCCGCACTCAGCAATATTCCAGCTATATTACGGCGGTCTGTAAATAATCGAGTCTGGACCAGACAACCCAGTGATTGATATCATGAGCATCGATCCACGCAATTGGGATCGATGACATATTCTACCCCGGATCTTTCTGGGTCCGCTGTATATGTACATAATGAATATAGTCGGCAAGCCTGACCACCCGATCCCGTTAGTCGCCTTTTACGACAAGCATAGTCGCCTTTTACGGCAAGCATGGGTTGCTGAATATCTATTCTACCCCGGATCTTCACGGGTCGATTGTACATTGTGAAACATAGTCATGAGGTTATCTTCTGTGGTTTATGTTTAAATGTAATCTTAAATAAACATTAAATAAATTTTATCATCTCTTTCTCAGAGCACAACAACAACAATAGTGTAGTTATATAATGTTATAGTTATAGTGTCTAAAAAGTACATGATATATGCTGAGAGTTTGGTTTAAACATATTTTTATTTCAAAAGAAATCTGGATCGGAAAACAAGCAAAACTTGCTTATAAAAATACCTCTCCAGGTAATAACTTTACAACAGCTGGTTATATATCAGATTATATGTAAGATAGTGCTAATCATAAACATCCTAGATGCACAAATGAATGACATGAAGCCAATACAAGTGGTGTCTGTGAAATAAGATATAGCAGTTTTCCATTACTACATGCATAAAATTAAGCTACTCGAATCTTGAGAATGCTGAGAGTCTTGTTGAAGTCCTGCACCCGTCCTCACAGTGCCAATGAGATACATGTACCTTGTACCTTCAAAATCACAGTAAAACAAAATATATATTTAAAAAAATTAAACAGGAAAAACAAAACATTTTTTTTTTTTAAATCTCATCCGCAGAACACATCTTTGGTGTAATTACCTCGTTACGCTAACAGGCCATTAGTGAGATGAGCTCAGTGTCATTAGTGAGATGAGTTCAGTATCATCTCATTGTGGACTAGGGATTACCAGGGCAATCAGTGCAGACAATTGTCTGGCAACTTTTCATTCGAGTAGTCACTGCTTAGTCAGTAATGCATTTGGAACCATACTTTCTTCTATAATTATATTTTATCTCCAAATTGCTTGTATTGTGCTACATTCGTTGTCCAATTGTATTATACTTCGTAATGTATGTACTCTATACCACTATTGTGTGTTTTTCTAGAATAAACTCTGTTCTGTTCTTCTATTCTCCTTATTGAGTCAAATGTACTGTTTAACATGTGTCTGGGGAGCAAGGAAATGTATCTAGGTAACAGCTTTTCCTCCTAAAAGGGTTCTACTTATCAGATATAAAATAATAATAATTATATAGTGAGAAGGCCGGGACCAAAGAAAAGTATTTGCATAAGAGATGCAACGACAACGACAACGTTCTTACATAAATCACAACTCGTCATTGTCCCCCGCCCCAGCGACGTTAAACCCCGTTTCACCTCACCTCACCTTTTTAAGAAATAGAATATTTTCTGTAATGGGTCAAGGGTCAAGAATACATTTCTTCCGAAATGATCAATCAAATAAGTTATTCCGCACAGCTTCGTGATTCATATTATTCAGATGGGGTAAATGAACACTTCCTTGGAGCAACAGACATGGCCGAGGACGGGGTATGGAGATGGGTGGTGTACGACACAGTCTTTCCAGAGTAAGGTTTGATGATACGGGATGCAACCACCAAAATCAGAAATACATCTGTGACATTTCCCTTCTGTGAGGGTTTTGTCACCATTTACAGTTGCAGCTAAAGCTAAAAAAATGCTGATTGTAACCAGGACATAACGGCTGCAATAACAGGAGCTACATGTGGCATGGTGTTTTTCATGAGTTATTGACCACGGGCTACAATGCGCTGATTGACACCAGGACACGACAGCTGCAATTATATGCAGCTAGAATGTTCAGTTGGTTGGTTGGTTTGCTGTTTAACGCCGCACTCAGCAATATTCCAGCTATATGACGGCGGTCTGTAAATAATCGAGTCTGGACCAGACTATCCAGTGATTGATATCATGAGCATCGATCCACGCAATTGGGATCGATGACATGCATCAACCAAGTCAGCGAGCCTGACCACCCGATCCCGTTAGTAGCCTTTTACGACAAGCACATTAAGGTCGTACTAAGTAGTTTGTGCTCATGGTTTATGGTCACCTGCAGGTCACGAACACCTTGCATCATCAGTACAGTAAACTACGGTTATAACGAACACGATTATAACGAACTTACCGATATAACGAACTTACTTGTTAGCCCCGGCTATATGTTGCATATATGCTGTATATATGCTTATAACGAACTACGGTTATTACGAACTAAAATGGGTGGTCCCTTTGAGTTCGTTATAACCGTAGTTTACTGTATTTGATGCTAGTGATTATGGAAAGGGCCGTGGTGATATAGCTATGAAATGGCTGACTGTTGCTTAAGAACAAAATTCGATTGTGGAATGAACAGGAATGAAAAAGCTCCCCGTGAATCATTAATAAAAAAAGGATATAGGTACACAACCCAACATGTTCATGTGCATTGGAAACAGTAAATAGTCCGTTCCTAAGTAAATGCAGAGTTATCAATTCTCGTTTTAGGTGGACAAATAACTTTTTTAGTGTATGTTTACATAGGAAATGCCGAGTCATAGTCAATCTATTGGAAATGATAAGTCGCTTGCTGAACGATAAAATAATGTGTAAGGTTTTTAAAAACTGGGTGACGTTTAACCGTCAATCCTAATATTCAATTCAATATAACAGGTTTCATTCTGCGACATTTCTTGAGGTTCTTGGATTTTTCATTTTTTCTGACGTGAACAAACCTGTGTATAATAATATATGGGGAAACTATTGTGTATTAGTGAATTTGTAACATGTACCTTACCATTTTCTAGCATGCCATTGTCGTTCCCGATTCACCTACAGACCCGTGAAGATCCGAGCTAGAATAGGTCTTCACCAGCCTACATGTATGCTTGTCGTAAGAGGCGACTCTACTTGTCGTAAGAGGCGACTAACGGGATCGGGTTGTCAGGCTCGCTGACTTTGCTGATGCATGTCATCGATCCAAATAGCTTACATCGATGCTCATGATGTCAACGCCTGGATTGTCTGGTCCAGACTCGATTTTTTACAGACCGCCGTCATATAGCTGTGATATTGCTGAGTGCGGCGTTAAACAACAAACAACCAAAACATGTACAAACCCAGCACTGTACACTTGAGAATCGTATTTGAAAGGTCTGCGGGTGTGTTTAGTTCACTTGACTTTGGCACATAAACGTATTCTTTTTAATGTTTCCTTTATTATTCAAGTTCATGTCTCATGTTGATGGACATTATTATTATTATTGTTGATTATTGCTTCACGCATCATATAAAACGTTTTCTCTCATCCTCCATAATATGCAAATGTTTAATAGTGAGTGAGTGAGTGAGTGGGTTGGGTTTAACGCCGCTTTTAACAGTAGTCCAGTTATTTCGCGGCGTGTCAGCTTGATGTGGGAGGAAAGCCCGAAGTGATGCAGGTCTCAGACGTTTACCAATTCGGTGAAACCCATGAGCACGGGTATGGTGCTGACAAACCTAGAAAGATAATCGGGGCGAACCGGGATTCGAACCCACAATCGTAGGTTTCTGGCGTGCCCAAGGGACGCAACTCTGCACAGCGAATCGCGGCGCCTTAGACGACTGGGCCACCCGTACCCCCAAATGTTTAATAGAATACCGATGATTATTTTTCATTGTCTGTGAAATATGCACATAAGATACTGAGAAAATGGCTTATGTTGAGTACCTAAAGGAAACTACGTCATGCATTTCAATAACCTGTATTCAAAGGATAAAATTGTAAATATGACTTAACTCATTCGCCGAAAGAGGATTTCGACACTCCAGCCACTGACGCTTGTGTCCAAGCAAGACTGTCCTTTATTGCTAAAGCAGCGTAAAACCTCGCTCCCTCGCTCGCCCGCCCCCTCCCACCCACCCCTCGCTCGCTCACTCACTCACTCACTCACTCACGCCTCACTCATTCACGCCACTCACTCACTCACTAACACACCCACGCCACTCACTCACTCACTCACTCAGATTGAGTTGTAATATTTTGTGACCTGAGCCATATCAATACCTCGGCTAATGATTTAATAGTGGGGACTTCCACTCCCACAATGTCTAACTGGTAAGTACGCTGTAAAAACGCTGTCTTAATCCTTGTCAGATATTATTAAACGCGCTTTGATGCATTAATACGTATGTTTGTATTCAAAACTTGTTAGGAACCGATTAGAATGAAACCGCTTAAAATTCTAAAAATGTTCAAATTCTTGTGTATCTGGTTAACGTAGAACAATATCTGTACCGAGGTCTTCTAAATTAAACAAACATCAGTTTAAATAAGTACATCTATAAAATCTTTGCTTGACTCTTACATGTTGCTATTAATATCAAAATGTGTTTAGATTGGACGTTATCAAATATGAATGTGTGATTGATCACGTAAAAACTTAAATGATATCACACAACGATCGATATTTCCCTTCTGACTAATGCTTGCTTTCATTGCGCTGTGAATAAATCTCTGATTCAGTTTGATGCGATTGTTTACGATTGTGCCTCTTATTGTAACCCAATCTCATTAAAATCAGACCTTAGTTCTTGCTATCGCCAAACAAAGGTCTGAGGACATCCCTTTACGGGTCACGTCAGAACGACCTTCATCCGACCAATGAGAGCGTCGCTTACCAGATCATGAAAGTGACAGTC